AGACGGACAGAAGTTTTCCACTGAAGTTTCCTCCTGCGGAAGCTTGTTCAAGTCTAACTTGGGATATCTCATGGGCTCTTTCAGTCTTTCCCCAGCCCCTTTTGGTGAAGTCAACATCACGAATGCTGGTGTTACGGTCATAAAGAAAATCCAATGGAATGCAACAAAAGACTTCATCTTGGCGAGTCTCCTACAGTACTGAAAAACCAGAGACAAGCTTTGAGAATAGCAAATCTTGAAAAAATAAGAAAGTGTCGCAATGTGGCGACACCACGGGTCAGGGGCTCCCTCAGCTTTCTGACTTGGCCGTCCAAAATCGAGATGATGCGAAGATTCAACACACTCTGACATAAAACTTGAGCAGCAGGCCTTAGCTTTGCGGGACTTGGGCCGTTGAATCAGGCGGTAGCAACCGCGTAGACAGGCGAGTCTCCTCCTGCGGAAGCTCGCTTCGCGGCAGCACGTCCGCTGTTCAGCTGTTCACAGATGAGCAGCTTCAGATGTCGCCGACACGAGTTGGGTCCTCCGTCTTCCCCGAAGTGACTGCCTTGGGTGTGAAGTTTGGGCACCCACCTTTGATCAGGCGTTGGTGTGCTTCATCGGTCGACCAGGTTGGCATAAGATGTCATCATCAGCTTCATGATCGCAAACCCAAGTTTTCTTCTAAAGTAACTACACCGGCGTTGCCGTGACTTGTTTGGGACTTAGCACCGCGAGCACTTCCAGAACCCCTAAACGAAATCATCTGTATCGTCCACGCCTCTGGGTTTTCTTGACTCTTGGAGCGTACATTTTGCTCGCCCGCCCTGACATCTATCATCAACTAGGCCAATCAGCAGTGCCCCGCAGATTGATCAAGCGTCCGATTGCGTCGCTGCGTAGATTTTTTTTTCGGAACGGGTGGCGATATATCATGTTAATTGAACCGGCCTCGATAACTTACCGTGTTCTGTGGAAAGTGAATCAGATGGAAATATTGATCCAGTATAGCCTTTTAAGACCGAACAATCCCAGTTGTGGGAATTAGGATTCCATACATCTGGGGCTCAGAGGGACATTGATCATTCCAAATGTAGAATCCGACCCATGAGTACTTTGTGCGATGTCTTCCGAATTTTGGATGGCAAGCATAGTTTACACGAGGAACACTATCCAGTTCTTCACATAAGGTAATTTTAGTCAAGAAAAGTTCATCCCGTTATATGTTCTAGAACTCTTATTTGCAACCTATTTTGCAGCTCCACTTTTCTGAGTTCTAAGAAAACGGGTAGAGCAGTTCATGTACTGCTGATGTTGCTCTGTTGATGGTCCACATCATTCAAACCAACCTCTTCTGAACAGAAGGGCCAGATAATTCTTAGATTTTGGAGGGAAGCCCCCCTGCTGGAGCAAAATTCTCTCCTGATTAAACTTTGCCAAAAACCACAATTTTGAGCCAATATGGACTACCATAATAAGGAACAGCCATCAGGGCAGTCCATTCTTCAGTAGGAACCAACTTTAGATCAAATACCAGCAAGTGTTGAAGCAAAATTCGGATAGGTTACCCATAAGATAAAATTTACATCAATTAGCAGCAGCTGTATGGAAAGTAGCATGTGAGAATCATAAGAAAGCTTATGAGATGAAAGCGACAGTCAATTGTAGACAAGGACAATTAATCAAATTGAGATGTATCAACGGTGGGCCAGTTACACTAACCGTAGTGTTAGTGTAGCGTAGTGTTAGCTTTTTAAGCTACGCTACACAAAAGTTACTGTTAGCGGGAATTTTTGGCCCACTAACACTACAGGATTTTTGAAAAACAAAAAAACAACTTTAGCGTAGTGTTAGCTACCTTCAAAAAGGCACAACTAACACTAACCAAAATCCTGTTAGTGAAATTTTAGCGGTGTTAGTGGGTGAACCCACTACACTACATGTTAGTGTAACTTTTTGAAAAGTTACACTAACAGTTAGTGTAGTGGTACCCTCAGTTACACTAACTGTTAGCGTAACTGGTGAAAAAGTTACACTAACTGTTAGTGTAACTGATTAAAAGTTACACTAACTGTTAGTGTAACTGACTATGTAGTTACATGACCACATGACTAGCGCTAGTCTACCCTGAAGGTAGTGCCTGATTGTGGGGCCTACATCCAGATCCCCTCAATTGATCATCATTTTTTTTCAGTTGGTACTGGGGGCCACTCAATTTTAGCCCCCTGCCATTTTCTTAATTTACTGGGCTCCATTCCCACACTTACTTGTGTTCAATTTCCACTTTGACATCATGCAGCAAGGGGTGTGTGTGTGTGTTGAGGTGTATGATAGTCTGCTACCATTATGTATCACCAGAGTGTGGTGGAGCTGTGGGCATGGGCCATGACAACTACCACCCAACTGACCTGGCAAACACAAGCATCTGTAGCCTAGTTGGTAAAGGAAGCACTCTTGTATGTGACTCAGCATTGCTGAGGTTGTGAGTTCAAATCTCACCAGGCACATCCTCAGTTTGTTTTTCTCCACATCTTGTGCTGTTCATATTCTGCGGGATTGTGTGCGATCACGGGACATTGAAAATCGTCACCGTGGACCTCGGCCGTATCAGTCATATGAACATTTTACATAAGTTGTGCAAAAATCCAGCTTGACACATCAATTTCTTTAATTGATGAGTTACAAGTTACACTACACTACATGTGTAGTGTAACTTCTGATGTAGTGTAGCGTAACTAGGCATGTAGTGTAGCTTAATTTGGTATAAGTTGCGCTAAATGTTAGCATCAACTCAGTTACGCTGCTGGTTAGTGGAAGTTTTGTTAGCTTGGAAAAAGTTACGCTACTTGTTAGTTTAGTGGCAATTATTTCAAGCTAACACTAAAAAAAATTTGCGGGAAAAATTTCACGCTACGCTGGCAGTTAGCTCAGCGGTGTGTAGCGTGAACTAACACTACAGGATTTCCAGCAAAAAAAAAGCAACTACGCTAACATGTAGTGGCCAAATAGCGTAGTGTAGCGTAGCGGCCCACCGTTGGATGTATCATCATTCTCCAAGTTCTATGTAGGATACCTCCCTGCACATTAACCTTCAAGTTTCTTTTCTGACAAATTCAGTGACAACGAGCTCATTGGATAAGCTAGTGGGACAACTGCTCTATCATTGCTTGGAGATGCCCCACCTTCCTCCTTGGGCCACGTCATATGTGCACGCATTGCTACTCTGCCACCCGCTACCTGCCACTGCCAAATTATGTTAATTGTTGCCACCTGCAGGCTACATATACTGTAAACATAGCACCAAGGAAAAGGCATTTATCCACCAAATGGGCAGGGTAGGGCAGAGCAGGAGGAGTCAGGAATATGACGGAGGTTTTGGTTTCACTGCCACAGCTGGATACATACAGCTTGCAGCGGTACGCCTCGGCACGCCAGTGGCCAGTGAGCACACGACAAGTTGTTGAGTGCCACAGTGTCTGTATGAATCCACAAGAAAGTCTTGGAAGGTTTCGCAGGTTGTCGGTCGTTGAGGCGGGGAGTGTACAGCTGATGTCACTGATCCGAGCTGTTCTTTTTTGTTGACTTTCGCTGGACATCCGCATGACACCCCTCGACGCCAAGCCACCCTCCCGCCTGGCCTCGCCCTCGACTTCGACTCAACCGGATCCTCGCCCGGACAACTCTACCACCAACCAAACA